ACCAAAAAGCCTTTTCTCGAGGCTAAGTGCAAGTTCAATTTAAATAGCTCCATTTTTCACAAATTTTACACACTTACTCTGCTCATGGCTGCGAGAAACAATAATACAGAGATTAAAACAAAAAGGTTTTGCTTTCGACTATTGAAAAACTCGATTGAAGACATATGAGATAAGCTACCAACAAATTCGATTATAGTTCTAGATAGGAACGTAAAAAGAAAAACACAAGTCTGGTTAGTCTTCTCACAAAAGTACGAACCAAAGCACCTTACCCCAAAGAATCTATCCTCAAGCAGCATATAGTTTTCACAATGAAACAGAAATTACATCCACTTATAGGAAATGGAGATAATTTGCGATACCATTACCCGCAGGTAGTCCATTCCGGTAGAAGTGTAATTTAGATTAAAAATTGTTAGACGAATTTGCACTTTTAGGCTTCTAACTAAGTAGCGTAATCAATTTATAGATTAGCGATATGCTCACTTCCTCTAGTACTCCATATGCTTGTGCTTGCTTTTCGTCACAGTTACTGTAACTGCAACTTCCTTCCAATCAACAAACTTCATTCGAAAGGCAATTGATACAAGATATTCACAAATACGCGCTCCTCTTACAGGCCTACCGAACAGAATTTTAGCACGCCTGCGCAATAATGAAGGCTCCAGCAAAGCTAACGCTCCTACATCTTTCAAAAGATCTTGCTTCCACTCCTACGCCGTGTCCCGTAATTTAAAAAAAAAACTCGCTTAAAACACGGCCAGGCCGCTAAGTTTCCTAAAAGCACCTTAATGGAACTAGCCTTGACTGGAATTATGCGTTACGCATTCATCGGTCCAAATGCCGAAAAATTGGCTTAACGTGGTCTCCACAAGAAAACGAAGCTAAAATGATTGCGTAACGCCATAATCAAGAAAAACCAGCTGTACCTGCGCAAAACCGGGGAATGTTGAATGTGCAAAGTCAATGAGGCGTAATCGAATAGCGTCGTCTGTAGTCGAATCAGCTGCATCAGCATCAAATGCGAACAGGAGCGACGAGGAGAAGAAACGATAGCCAGCACACTCCAACAGTGTGGCTCGTAGTTCTCGCAGCCTAAAAATACAATCAAATAAGAAAAAACAAAAAGCGTTTCATTCATTCTAGAAAAACCTTTTCAGGTCTAGCAAGAAAATTGGTCAAGTTTTTTTTATTCCTTTTTCAATTCTATTTTGCGCCTTTTACTATTTTCGATTCAGCAGTATGCGCGTGAATATAAGTGGTTACCAAAGTTCCTATCAGGTTGTCCAGAAAATTTTGCGTGTTATGAATGCTCAACTTGAATGACACATGCCCTTTCAGAACATTGGTTTTAACAGG